AAAAAAAAAAAAAAAAAAAGGTGCATACATGAGATGGTATCATTATGATATATAATAATTTTTCATTTTTATTGTGTATTGTTTTGATTTTTGTTTGAACATAAGCCTCCTCTTTATTTTGGAAATCTGGTGCCAGTTCTACATAATTAGTTTGATTTCGCCCCTTATGTTTGTTACTTAAAAATTGATGTGAGATGACTTTGGAATCACATAAGGCTTTAGATTATATCAGTATTAGGCATGAAAAGCACAGACACTTACTAATGTGTTACTTTTTCTGGCCTCCAGATCATTATTCAATAGATAGAAAACATTCTGCTGCTTACTGGTGATATGAGTGGAAGTGGCAGAAAACGTTCTTCTAAGTGGGATTTGAAAGAAGAGCGCCAGCATTCTCTTGAAAATGTTCGAGAAAGTTTTCGGCCTGTGAAAGCAGGTTTGTCTTATCGTGACAGAGAATTAGAACGTGGATGGTTCCCACCAGATGTTGCTGGTAGGAATGGTAACAAGTGGTCTGTTATGGAGAGCAATGAAATGATTAAATCTAAACACAGATCCCCTTCTAGAGAACCTTTACCTGTAAACAGAGGCTCTTACAAGAGTGATGGCATTGATGTTGACAGCATGAAAATGTCTCCTGGTTTTGACGATTGGAGACAGCAAAATCGTCGCCATTCTCCTAAAAGTGATTGGAATAGAACTCGCAGGTTTGATTATCTACTATGGGATTCCCTAATTGTCATTATCTATACTTTTAAAGTATCACTTGTTCTGGTGGAGTGTTTGTGAACCAGAATCCCCAAGGCAGATGTTAAGATTGGTTTAGTGTGTAATATCTTGATGTTGCCAAAAAAGAAAAAAAAAAAAGAGAGCATACAAGCATACAATCTACCTTTTGTTTTCTGCTTTATTAAGTTGATGATGCTGTCCCCACTAAAACACATTTTTTAATTGTTGAGTTTATTATTATTTTCTTAGTTCAAGGACCAGTATTTCCTTGAATTTTTTTTATTTTTTGGCAGTTGCAACTTGACTTGATTTTTGTAGTTTATATTGGAGGTATCATTGTGGTCATTCTTATTTGCCAACGCGAAAGATTGGCCCCAGTTATCCACACTTTCATCTACTTCCTTCAATAAGAATATTATTTGGTATTCTTAATGGTCTATGCCTTTGGATATTATATGCAGAAGCAGGAGTAGGAGTTGGAGCAGAAGCCGAAGCCCGAGCAGGAGCCAGAGCCAAAGCCCTATCCGTGGCTTTAGGCGACAATCAGGATTCCATGAAAAAGGTAGAATCAGATCGGGAGTATCAACTCAATTGTGTAAAGACTTTGGTGTTGGGAGATGCAGAAGAGGTAGTCAGTGTCCGTTCCTTCACCATGAGATTCAAAGTCATGAGGATAGTTGGGATAACAAACGTAGGAAATCTGTTGCTACGAAGCATTTTGTTCCTAATGATTCAAAGGAGTTTATTATGAAGGGTGAAAGATCTACTAATTGCTGTACTGAGTATCTAAAAGGAAACTGTCGGAGGGGGGCATCTTGCAGGTTTGTCCATGATGGTGCTTCAGATGTTTTTGGTAGAGGATCAATGAATGAGGTGACAAGCGAAAGGGATATAAGGAACAGAGATGCTTCTCCAGAGGGTCGTGTTGAGCAGGCACCTCGACGGAACACTGATATTCCCTGCAAATTTTTTGCTGCAGGAAGTTGTCGAAAAGGGAAATATTGTAGGTTTTCCCATCATGTTCAGGCACGTATTAGCCCTGAAAGAAGGTCACGTGATGATAGGCGGGAACAGGGCAGCAATGTAGAGGATATGGATAAATTATGGGATGCTCCAAAACTGAGTGATGCAGATGCTTCAAATGGTGTGAAGAGACCATGGAGTGAACCAAAGTGGACTGATACTGACACTGTAAATGATGCAGAGAAATCATGGAATGGTCCAAAATGGAGTGATACAAATACTTATATAGAAGCTGTGAAGTTGACAGAGGAGAAAAATGGTCAAATGGGTGACTCTGGACCAAGAATCTCTGGTTGGTCTACGGACCACAGGTTGGACCATGGTTCTGACATAAATGGAGCACTTAGTGAGCCAAAAGTGAGTCGTGTAACAGTTGATAGTAACAAGAAGGAAGCACTTCAGAGGAAGATGGAAAATGCTAGTGTTAATGTTGGCCATTCAGAACCAAGGGGTACTAATGAATTGCTTGTTGATATGGAGATGTCTCCTGAATGGAATTACACAATTCGACCTTCAAATAATGCTTTGAAGCAAGAGTCTTTATCAACTCATGAACAAGCTACAAGTAAAGAGGCTTCAAGTTGGATGCCTGATGGAAGTTCAGTTTTGCAGCCAATTTCAATTGAGAATTCTAATGTTCAACATGAAAACATTACAAGGGAGGGTGCTGCGGTTGCGTTGCCATATGAAGGGAAGAATATAATTGGAAATTCTGCTGCTTCACTCATTGACCTGAATTCTGCTAATGGAGTTCCAGGGCAAAGCTTTGGCCAGAATTACCCTAGTTCCAGTTCAGTACCTTATTCTAGCTTAAATGCAGTTGGACATGGTAAGCCAGTTATCTCTTCACAGTCTAGTGGAGGAAGTGTGAATGATCCTCAAAACCTTGTCCTCTTACACGAGGCTACATTGAACAGCAAACTAAATGTTGGGGTTGCAAACTTGGCACAAGTAACTTCTGGAACTCCTCCAACTCAGAACATGGTAAGCAATGAACAGCTCACACAACTTACTGACCTTTCAGCCTCTCTAGCTCAGTTACTTGGAAATGGGCAGCAACTTCCACATCTTTCTGCTGCTCTTAATCTCCATAATGCAATGCAGGTTCCATCTTTTGCCAACTCTGGAGGACCTGTTCAGCCACCTTCTGAAGCAACTCTAAATTCAAATCAGGACATTCCACTCCATAAGCAATATGGTCCTATTTCTGACAGCATGGAGTCCACTAAACGTGACATGAGTAACAAGCCTCCGGGGTTTTCTTTGAATTCTGCTGGACAAATAGGAATTACAGATGGGAAACTAGAAGTTCTATCTAATAAACTTTTACCATCTTTTGCTGCTAGACCAAACAGTGGTGAAAATCATAACAACCAGAGTTCAGAGAAGGAACATAATCTTGAGCCTGGAAGAATTTCTGAGGTTATGAAGGCAGAAAATGGAGAAGGGGCTGAGGAAACCAAGAAAATTCAAGAGCCAAATAAGGGTGGTCTCTTGGAGAACATAGATGGAGATGTCAAAGCTGATGAGAGCAAGAAGAGTAAGGACAGCAAGGGTGTCCGGGCATTTAAATTTGCACTTGTTGAGTTTGTTAAGGACCTCCTAAAACCTGCATGGAAGGAAGGGCAAATCAGCAAGGAGGCTTACAAAAACATTGTGAAGAAAGCTGTTGACAAGGTTACATCTACAATGCAGGGTACTAATATTCCTCAAACGCAAGAAAAGATTGATCAATATCTTTCTTCTTCAAAACCAAAGCTTAGCAAACTTGTGCAGGTAAGTTTAAATCCTAGATGGTTCTTTACTTATAAACAAGAAATGTGAATTTAGAAAAAAGAAATAGATTTTTCTTCCTTTTTCACATTTGTTTGGTTTTTTTTTTTTTTTATTGGTTTTGCGAATGGAGATTTACTTATACAACTCATAACTGATAACCACTTAATATAAATTTAGGGGTGAAAAAACGAAAATAGACTTTTCATGGTTGCGGATTAATGCTGCACGTGATGTAAACTAATTTTTATTTATTCTTCTGGTTTATTTCACATGATATGTGACTTATGAGGTGTCCTTGATCAAGACAATGGTTCAAGCTGAATCTCTAAGTTGTTTACTTTTCTGTCATACTGTATCATGTATAATGTTTTGAAAACTTGGCTTCAAGTTTCTTTTGATTGTTCCGTAAGATGAAGTGTCTACCATTTCTTTTTTTTAGAAATACAGAAAATTTCAGGTGTCTT